AAGTCCAGCTCCATTAGCCAGACTTACAGTTCTGAACAATCTGAGGACTCATGTTGAGACAGCAAACAAAGCAGTGAGGCCAAGGCAGCACCACCCAAAAGACAGTGTGAGCATGTGCTCCTGCTCGGCCTTCCAACCACCAGGGAAACACACAGGTGATGAATATGTGATGAACATATTAGATGCAGCACAGAGCTCAGGAATTAACCAAATGAGAGACACACAGTGAGAGACATAGTGGGTGCCCACAGCTGACTGGGGTCACAGTTAGAACACACCTGAATGATGACAGCCAGAGACTTCTCTGCTAGTTTTGTTGTGGAGTTTCCTCAGTGGACCCAACAGCTCCCTGCTCACTCCACACTGCACAGTGAGAGTGTTTTTGTAGGGCTGTAATAACGTCTACCTCCTGGGATGGTACAAGGGCTTTCCAGAATGCTACATTTAGTGGAAAACTGAGTGAATACTAAAGGGAAGTGTTAATTTTTACAAGTACATATGGATATACAAAGATCTCAAATAAAAAGTACACTTTAAGCCAATAACTAGGGACACAAAGCGATTTTTTATATTGTCATAAAATAGTGCCTTGCTTCCAAGAGCCAGCCGTCTCATTGTTAAAGTTTACACCCCTTCCTTACGAGCATAAACCTGCAGCACTCAAGCTCTGCCTCCTAGCTGTCCTCTGTGCTAACTGTTCCCATCCATTTTCTCTAAGTCACAGATTTGCTCTTATCTTCTTTTGACATGGAACCCCCCCCCCGGGGGGGGGGGGAATTCCTTGGGAGAAGTTCAAACCCTTCCCATGACAGGAACAGCTTCTCAAGATGTATGTGTGTCCTTTCTAGGCTTGCAGAGGCTATCATCCCTCAGCTCTCTTCCTGGCTGGACTGGGCTAGCTGGTCCCTCTGGGGATGAGTGGCAGAGACCTGCCTACTCCTCAGTCTTCATGCCAGGGGTCAGGGTTACCTCTTCTCCAAGGTGGCCATGGCCCCAGCCCTGCTCAGAGCAAGGGCGCTTTCCTTCCTGCTCCTTTACTCCTTGATCATTTGCATTTCTGCAGTGAACTGGTGGGCCTGAAGCCCACAGGCCTTCACTCACGGAGTGGGAACTACCTCCATCTCCCCTTACGCTCTCAGGGTTGCTGCACTTAGGAGAGCATTGGGAAGTACTTCATCGTTCCTTAGGAAAGCCACTGGTGGTTTTCAAATGAGCATGGGATGCACTGAGCCTATTAATGCCTGTGGTACATCATGTCTGTGGCAAAAATCAGTACATTGTTGGGGGAAGAAAAACAACAGTAATTTTATTTTATTAGAGTCTAAAACTTTAATGTATAAAACAATCACTGAAGCCAGGCATAGTGGTGCATGCCTGTAATCCCAGCATTTGGGGAGGCAGAGGCAGGTGGATCTCTGTGAGTTTGAAGTCTACAAAGCATGTCCAAGATAGCCAAGGCTACAGAGAAATCCTGGCTCGAAAAAACCAAACCAACCAATCACTGAAAAGGAGTTGGTTGGGAGACAACGTGTAAAATGGATAAACTAGAAAATCAGTTTAGTGTCTCAGCTCTACAGAAGCTATTCCAAGCTAGAGCTAGAGTCACCAGCAGTGAGATGAAGGGGAAGAAACGGCCTCATGTACGCTGACACTGTGCCTATCAGATGGCAAATGGTAGTCTGACGTGACTACATAACTACAGATCAGTATAAGCCACCGCGGAGCAACATGAACTAGAAACTGCAGAATAATCTGCTCTTGTCTGTCTAGGAGAATGTCGTGGATATAAACATGTTTTTATTTTAATCCCAGGTGTGGACTCTGGATACAGAATAAATGCCAGAGCCCAGAGAGTGAGATCAGAAAAAGAACAAGGCTGCTGCTGCTTCCCCCTTGCTGCTCCTGGTTGCTGTTGTGAGACAAGAAGTTGGAGATCTCCTGAAACAAGGATTGGACTGGCTCCAAGGAACCTGACAACCCTAACCAGCAGGAAGCAGCTAAGAGAACTGCGCCCCCTCTCCCACTAACCCTCTCTCTCTCCTACCTGGTGTTGGGGTATTGGAAGGGACTGGGTAGAGTAGGGAGAAAAAGACAAAAGAAATGCAGATAAAGGAGTTTTAAAAAGTATGTCAACAGGAGAATAGCTGAGGGAAGATAGGAACACAAAGCTTGAATGGTCTGGAAATTTCTAAAATAAACAGTAAGTCTCTGGAGACAGGACCTAAGGCTCTATGGGATTGAATTATTTCATTGAATAAGTCTTTGTTTTTCTGAATGTTTACTATGGACACATAAGATATATATTTTTAAAACATCCTATCTCTAACAAGACTGCTTTAGAATTGTGGCATGCTTCCCACTCGGAGGGTAGCCCACGGAAAGGCTCTGACTAGGCTCTGGTCAGAGGGCACACTACTTAGACTCCACTGACTTTAGGCCCTGTGCTAGAAAGGCAGGCTCTCCCTGACAGCCCCCAGGACTGAGAGGCCGATGGGCTGTGCGAAGACACAGGAAGAACGCAAGCCGCGTCAGAGTCCTGCTTTGAGCATGTGTACTCATTTCCATTCATCCCCGGCAGCCCCTGAAATGCCACGGAAAGAAATGAAGACAGAGACCAAGCAGAACACAGAACAGAAGACAATCATCTGCAGGATTGAAAAGCAGGAAGTACAGGTGACTTCCACGGCACTGAGAAGGCAGGGCTGACTAAAGGTCTTCTCTAGAACCAACAAGGCTCAGTGAGGGCGAGAGGAGCGTCTCGCACAGGGCAGGCACGAGGACAGACTGAAGAGCTGTTACACAGGACACTGCTGGAGGTTCTGCTTCTGCAAGTTCTGTAAGGCAGAACTAAACCGTGAGGGCAGGAAGCCTCCACATGGCTGGTCCACAGGAGGAGGGCCCCAGAGACCTCCAGAAAAAAAAAAAAAAAGACACAGAAGACACACTCTGGTTTGAGTGGACATCTGCAAACAAAAGCACAAAATACTCCCAGCAGGTGTGAGTCAGATCCACAGGAACCCTGGAAGGTTCCACTCTGAAACTGAACTGTATGGGATGGAGAAGGTAGGGCAGTTGGGTCAGTAGGAGGAGAGTAAGGAGTTAAAATGAGTGGAGGGCTGGACGGATGGCTTGTCCTGTAAGAGCACTGGCTGCTAGTTCAGAGAACCTTGGTCTGACTCCCATCACCCACTTGGTAGCTCACAACCATTTCTAACGGTAGGTCCAGGGGACCCAGCGCCCTCTTCTGGCCTCCTCAGGCTCTGCATGCACACAGTGAGCAGACATACATTCAGGACACCGCCACACAAATAAACTAAAGATAAATTAAAATCTTTTAAAAATATGGATGGAAATAGGTGGTATTTGGCTCTACATGAAGGCATGGTTTGTGTACCTGTTAAGTTGCATAAACAATGAATGAAAGGCCTATGTGTGTGTGTGGAACGTGAGATAGGATTTAACAAGAAGTCAAAATAAATGATGCTAAAAATAAAGAAGTAGGTACATCACTAACAGAATGGAAAGCATCTGAGAGAAGTTGAGCAGAGACGCAGTTTACACTAGAAATCTCTGAAAACTGATTTTTAAGAACTAATAATTACCCTTTATTATTGCTAAGTAATTATTTAACAGCCCTACCAGAAGCCAGAAGCCACTACAGAACTCTTGCTTTGTTTTGTTTTTGAGACAGTGTTCCTCTATGTAGCCTTGACTGTCCTGGACTCACCTTGTAGACCAGGCTGGCCTTGAACTCACAGAGATCCGCCTGCCTCTGGCCCCCCCTCAGTGCTGGGGTTACAGGCGTGCTCTTGCCTGCTAACTTCACTAACGCTTTTAAATGCCAAGAGCGAAGTGCTGCTGCTGTACAAACTGGGAAGGTATATTCCTATCTCCTGAAGAAAGACTGCCTCAGAACTTCTGCAGAAAGACCACGTCAGAACTGACGCTTCATTCACAACACTCCAGCCTGTTGTTTGGTGAGAGAAAGACATGGATGTGCCCTGACAGATAGGCAGCCCTGGATCCCTTGCTCCACACTTGAAGGTGTGTCAATCACTGCTTCCCTTCATGACCACGCCCCTTCCAGCTGCCTAGAATTCAAATGGACCAACTACCTCCAGATTGAAAGAACAGAAATCTTTAGATGCACCTTACTGATAACTTTTTAGAGATGCAGTTCTTCTGTTTTGAGTATAGGAATGTTTAGACTGCATGGGTGTGTGCATACGGACCAGGTTCTGGATCCTCTGGACAGTTCTGAGCCACCACATGCGTGCTAAGAACTGAACCAGGCTCCTTGGGAAGAGCAGCAAATGCTCTTAACCACTGGGCCATCTTTCCAGCCCCCATTAATTACTTTTTTAATAAAAATAAAAACATCAGAAAACAGGATTAGATAAAAAAAAAAAAAAAGGCTAATATAAAATGAGAAAAAGTCCTTCAGAAAACACCCTCCATTCTCCACAAGCCCCAACATACTCCACTGGCTCCTTCGGATCAGAGCGTTAAGGAACGAGGCCTTGTGTACAGACCAGAACTTGGCTCATTCTAACTCTTCAGTATACAGCTGACTTTTAATCTAGAGCAGTAAAGAGGCAGCCAGCACCCTGTAAACACACCTGCACACCACGTCCAGAAGACCACCTGATGAATCTACGAGAAAGCTTTAGCCCCTAGGGACAATTATAAATATATATATTTGTAAACGTTTCTCTGTAAATTATATTTGGTTAAGTACTCTGTGTTTCAAAGGGTTTTAAAAACTATAAATTGAAAAGAAAAAATATCTCAAGAATATGGAATGCTACAGTTATGTATTTTTTAAATTACCACTAGGCAGTACATGCTACTTAAACCCACAGTGGAAGAAATATCCATTAGAAGCAGTTTAAAGAGAGCCCAGAATAAAAGGTAACAGAAAGAACACAGATGCATTTGAACAGCCTCTGTAAAAGCAAACAGGGAACACTGGCTGCAGTACGGCCGGCCGGCCTCTTTACCTGCCAGGTAGAGGGCGAAGGAGATGAACCTGTGGTAGCGGATGAGGAACTGCAGCTGCTCCTCCCTCTGAACAAATGTAGCAAAGTAATCCGCAACCGTCTCTCCGTAGAAGAAGTAGTTCACACACAGCAGGAAGTACCTGGAATTCAAACCCATGAGCTCGCTGTGTCCACTGCTCTCCCCTCAAATGTGACAGAATTTCTCCCTGCATTCTGATGCCTAGACTAAGATCAAAATCAGAGCAGGTGATTAATCCAAAGTAGGCTCCTCCAAAATGCTTTCTTCTCATTTTTAACTTAATTTTAAGCCTATCAGCCAACAGCAACCAGCAATCTACCAAAGGTAACTCATGTGTTTAACAGTGTCAAAATATGCCAGACACATGCCCACGTGCCCACACACACACATACACATAGTATTAAGTTTACAATGCAGCTACCTCTTCGCTGCTCACTGGTCTCATGCTTAAGAACACACACTGGAGGACTCAATCCCACCTCAAGGCAAGTTAAGAGCGAAAGGAGGAAGATGCTGGGTACCTCCCCACGTGGACCTGCACACAGCCCTGATGTCCTGTGCAGCTCCTAGCAATGCCCAGAGGGCTCTAGTGAGCACTGATTCTTCTTGTTCTGAGTGTGTGTGCACGCGTGTTTGTTGTATTCCCCATATGTGTGTGTTTTCTATATATTTTATGAGAAATAAAGAAAACCGCTTGAAGAAAAATATCTCTCGTCGATATCGACATCCACCTCTGCACCCCACACTTCTCCCAACTCCAGGATCCTATTCTAGATGTTAGGCTGGCCTTGACCTCCTGCCTCAGACATCTGGGCAAGCCGCTGTGTGTGTTAGATCCCAGAACTGGGGTTACAGGACAAGCCACGACAGTCTGAGCCCCAGAGGTCAGGGAGCTCTGTCTTAGTAAGGCAATGGCTCCCTGGAAGAGGTTCATGGAGTAACTCCCAGGAAGGCCAAAAAGGATCCATTATAAGGCCATGTTTCCTACTCAGGGTCTTGATGAGTTTAAAAAACACATACAGCAGAACTTTACATGTATTTGTACACATATTGTACAAATATTCTGTGTTCTCTTGACAATTTGGGGAAAAAATAAGTTCAGCGTTTTCATAAAATCAAGATCAGGGAGGAAATAAAACAGCATATATATCAATCATTAATCAGATATCATTATGAAGACTGAAATGCACGCTTTCAGGAAAGCTGTGCCAGAGATGGAGCAAAGGTCATTTCCTCCTCTACAAATCACATCCTGTTTGTCTTCCTCTAAATCATTCTGACTTAAAACTTTAGAATGGGCCAGATGTGCATACCCAGAGCCGGCCCAGAGCCACTCACCAGCTGAGTGTTCGGAACCACGGCAGGTCATAGGAGTGGTAGACCCGGTACCCGATCGTGATGATCTCGTGGAAGCATTTCACTTGGATGCCCAGAACCTGTAAAAAAAGCACAGCTGCGTGGGCTCCAGTGCTTATATTTGTGCTGTGTTACTTTTTAAAAGCAACCCTTTGCCACGTGTATTTTAAAGAATCTTAATCTACGAACTTTTAAGTATTTTAAACAGCAACAGCAAAAAGGCAATACTCGCTCTTTCCAATAAGTGATGCATAATGGGGTAGCCAAAGGATGTTTAAATGAAGCTCTGCAGTCTTCCCAAGAAAATCCTGTACAGCAGTTTAAAGCCTGAGGGGCAGCGACAACTCGGGCAGTTGAGTGGACCGTATCCATTTATTTTTATTATTTATTTCTGTGTATTCGCAACATTTCTCAAGGTGGATAATCTTCCCTTTTTGAGACAAGATCTCACACCACAGAGCAGGCTGGCCTCTAACTGCCCATGCCTCTGCCTCAGCCTCCTGTGTTACTTACAGGTTTGACATGCCCAGGCTGACTTCTCCACTACTGTCTCTTAGGTTACTGTAGGGAGGAGCTAACTGACAGAGGTCTGCTTCTGCACATGCACCTTTAGTCCCAGGAAGCAGAGGAGCAGGTCTCTGTGAGTTCAAGGCCAGTCTGGTCTCTACACTGTAAGTTCCAGACCAGCTGCAGACAAATAGTGAGACCCTATTTAAAAAAAAAAAAAAAAAAAAAAAGGAAGGAAGGAAGGAAGGAAGGAAGGAAGGAAGGAAGGAAGGAAGGAAGGGAAAGAAGAAAGAAGAGAAAAGGTAATGTCTAGAACAAATAATTAACTTATCTTCCACTTTTCCTTCTCACAGCTATGCAGACTCCGACAGCCAGCAACAGTCCTGGCCATTCTGGACAGTCACCATCAGCCTTCTACACGTCACTTTGCCTGAGCAATGAAGTCACCGAGTTTTGTCTGCACAGTGTCCTTGTATTTATGAACTGACTTCTACCCATTGCTCTTCCCAAGGACAGAAAGACCCAAGGATCCAGATGAAACCGCAGCATCTTACTCAAGTGTGGCCTACACCAGTCCCAAACAGCACACTGAAAACCTCTGAGCCAAAGGGTGAGAGACTTTTTTCCCTTCTTTACAGAGCACACACTAAGGCTTCTGATCACAGTGTTGTACAAGAATAGCATGTTTGTAAGCTTAAAGAGTTTAAAATCCAAAGATTACATCACAGATCTACCTGCAGCTTATAATCTAAAATACTACTATTTGGCCTTTCGTTGAAAAAGTTTTCAAAAGTCAGGTTTGAAGGTGTTTTTAAGTTACTTCTCAGGGTTTGCGGAAATGAGTCTGTGGATAAAGCGGCATGGCGCACAAGCTTGACGACCGAGGCTGACCTGCATGAAGTTCAAACCCCAGCCCTGGGAGAAGGGCAGGGAGGACACAGACAGACCCCAGGGCCTGCTGGCCATCAGCCTGTAGTGTCAAGCTCCTGGCTCAAAGAAAGGTCCTGCCTCAAAAGATAAGTACCAAGGGAGATACACACACGACAGCCACCCCGGCCCCCACATGTGCTCGCGCACATGCGCGTACACACACACACACACACACACACACACACACACACACACACACACA